TTGGGCACTGGTTTGAGTCCTGGCTACTCCACTTCTGCTCCGGCTCTCTGCTCTGGCCTGGAAAAGCAGTGGAAGATGGCCCAGGTCCTTGGGCCCCTGCACCCACGTGGGAGACTTGGAAGAAGCTCCTGGCTCCTGGCCCCTGGCTTCATATTGGCCCAGCTCTGGTCATTGTGGCCATTAGGGAGTGACCAGTGGATGAAAGACCTTTCTCTCTCTCTGTCTCTCCATCTCTGTCTGTAACTCTGCCTCTCAAATAAATAAATAAAATTTCAAAAGAAATGACTTAGAAACGTAAGTCCAATTGTTTTGTTATATTTAAAGAATAAAATTGCATTTTAAATAATCAGAACAAACACAAGAAAAACAATTCTAGTCTTGGAAAGTGTAGATAGGCAATTAAGAGATAATGACTATTCCTAACTTTGTCATTCCACAAATGTGACTCACTAAAAAGTTATGAGTCAAAGCAATTCCCACATATTTAATGCCTACATACACACTTTGAACAAGAACTCTGTGTATCAGTAAACATTTTTTTAAAAGATTTATATAATTGAAAGAGTTACAGTGTGTGGGGGGGGAATCATCCATCCTCTGGTTCACTCTTCAAATAACTGCAATGGCTGGAGCTGTGCCAATCTGAAGCCAGGAGCCAGGAACTTCTTCTGGGTCTCCCACGCAGGTGCAGGGGCCCAAGGACTTGGGCCATCTTCTACTGCTTTCCCAGGCCATAGCAGAGAGCTGAATCGGAAGTGGCGCAGCTGGGACTCGAACTTGCACCCACGTGGGATGCCAGCACTGTAGGCTGCGGCTTTACCCACTATGCTGCAGTGCTGGCCCCATCAGTAAAGTTTTTAATGTGATAAATAAGCTTGGTTTCTTATTAATATATCTGATTTAGGTTGAGTTGTTGACAAGCCTACATGCAGGAAATGATGGATAGCTAATTTCTTCGTTTTGTCTTAACTTTTATGAGAAACTAGACTCTCAGAGGTATGTTGATAGGAGTAGAAGGCAATATTTCAAAGTAACTGGCCAAACTCAGGATATTCATTTTTTAAAGTTTATTTGAAAGGTAGAGTGAGAGAGAGAGGGAGAGAACATCCATCACTCCACAAATGTCTGCAACAGCCTGGCTGGGTCAGGCAAAGCTGAGTCTGGAGTGCTCTCCGGGTCTCCCATGGGGGTGGCAGGGACCCAAGCACTTGAGCCATCATCGGTTGTCTCTCAGGGTGTGCATTAGCAGGAAGCTGGCTGGGAAGAGGAGCTGAGACTTGAATCCAGGCACTCTGATGTGGCATACAGGTGGCGCCTTAACCGGCTGCATCACAACTCCTGCCCCAAGATATTCACTTTTAATTTTCATCCAAAATAAAAGCAAATAATGATTTATTCCCAGAATGTCTTCAAACTTTCATCCAATTTCAATTTATGATTTAAAAGTTACAGTTAACTATAAATTCTGATTTTTAATACTTCTGGGTAACAGTTGATGTTATGGTTTGAATATGGCTCTAGCTCATATTAGAGCTTAATTGAATCCCCATTGTGAAGATTAAAAAGGTGGGAAACTAGGGGCTGGTGTTGTGACACAGTGGGTTAAGCTGCCACCTGCAGCACTGACATCCTGTACGAGCACTGGTTAGAGTCCTGGCCGTTCCACTTCTGAGCCAGCTCCCTGCTAATGTGCCTGGAAAAGCAGCAGAGGATGGCCCGAGGACCTGGGCCCCTGCACCTGCATGGGAGACCTGGAAGAAACTCCTGGCTTCTGGCTTCAGACTGGCCCAGTCCTGGCCACATTGAGGCCATTTGGGGAGTGAACTAGTCAATGTTAGATATCTCTAACTCTGCCTTTCAAATAAAATAAGTATTCAAAAAATCATCAATGGATGCTAAAATTAATGGATGAAAGTATGAAAAAAATGGAATATAAATAAATCTTAAAGTGTTTAATTATAAAGAAAAAAAGTTACTTTATAGGGGAGAAACTTGGCAGTTTAACCAAAGTTTATGTCACCAAAAATGAGATATTCCTATCCCCTACCTCGTGATAAGGATGCACTGGGATTGGCACACTGCCACTTCAGTGGTCTTTCCAGAAACATACAGCCTGAATTGAGGCATGAGCAAACATCAACCCCAGATCGAGGGACGTTAATTGTTTAAAAATTTTATTAATATCAAAGACAACATAATATTTGTCTTTTTGAGACTGGTTTATTTCACTAAGCCTAATGGCTTCCAGATGCCATTAGGTGCATCCATTTTTATTGCAAAAAGAAGGGGTTTCATTCATCCTTTTTTATGGCGGAATAGTACTTCACAGTATATATATACCGCATTTTCTTTATCCAGTCATTAGTTGATGGGCATCTGGGTTGATTCCATGTTTTAGCTGTTGTGAATGGAGCTGCAGTAAACATGGGGTACAGATAACTTTCACCCGCTGATTTCCTTTCCCTTGGGTAAATTCCCAGGAGTGGGGTGGCTGGGTCCTATGGGAGGTCTATATTCAGATTCCTGAGGCATCGCCATACTGTAGCCCACAGTGGCTGCACCTGTTTACATTCCCACAACTGGCCAACAATCTTCAAAACTGCCTGAGATCAAAGGGGACGACCGTAAGGAGCCCTGGCAACTAAATACAATGCGTGCTCCAGGATGAGCCTGCTCCAGTAGGACATTCATGGGACAAGCAGGGGACTGGCCAGTCAACCTCAGGGGCACAGTGCTGGTCCATGTAGAGCTCCTTGTCTCCACTTGGCTTCACTAGTGTAACTTAGTCATCACTCACAAACCTTAGAACGTGTTCTTCCCACTGAGAGCCAACTTCCACACACCCGGGGTGTTGCCATGATTCAGAGAGCAACAGATTCAGCTACGACACCTGTGTGTCTACTGATGCATTTTCATCACGATGCTTCTTACTCATGCACTTCTCCGATCACTCTTTATTTTCCCATGAAAACGTGGTATATTCACTCATTCTGTCACAAAAAGGCTGGAAAGAATCTTCATCTAAATCCGGGCCAGAAGGCTTGATGCCACTGTGTGATTCGGAAGGCATGGTCATTGACCCCAGCGTGACTGGAAGCTTTGGATTGTCCATTAAAAAGTTGATAGCTTGTGTATTACATAGTAGAGATGAAAACAGGTTCAAATTATCACTCGTTCAAAAAAGACATAGCCAAAGCAAATAAAGATTGAATCTGTATTATTCCTAATAGATGAGGCCATAGCCATATCTATCACATACAGAAAATCTGATATTTTATAATCCTGGAATATTCCCATCAGGTGTCAAGTGACTGGATTTCCTCTCTCAATGTCAGAACAGTCTGCCATGAGTCTGCTTCCCTGCCTCTCCACAGATCTCAGCACTGCGATTTATGTTCCCGAACAAATTAGACTTAATTTAAGAGCAAATCATCAGCAACAGGTGTAATAATCTTGGCAGAACATTTATTTTAATTAATTGCTTTCTGCCTAACACAGATAGAAGGATGCTGATGCCATTTGCCCTATAAGGATTAGTGCTGTCATGTAATTCATTTTTTTTCTTCCCCTGGAACTTAAAGTCTCATCAGTTTTAAATTACAAAGGCATTGGTTTACTTCATATTTAATCATAACAATCTAACTTCCCTGGCAATGTTTATATAAGAAACATGGGCAAGAAAAATGGATTCTACCTACTCTGCAGCATTTTAGACTTCTGCTCCCCACACGGGCCCTATTGGGTTCCTCACAAAGGCAGTTACGGTCGGGGGTGGGGGGACAGAGAGAGAATATGAATGAATGAATCTTCCATCCTCTGGTTCACTCCTCAAATGCCACAACGGCCAGGGCTGGCCAGGCTGAAGCCAGGAGCTTCATCTGGGTCTCCCAAGTGGCTGGCAGGGGCCCAAGCACTGGAGCCATCTTCTACTGCTTTCCCAGGTGCATTTGCAGGGAGCTGGATCTGAACTGGAACAGCCTGGACTCAAACCAGCACCCATATGGGATGCCGACATTGCAGGCAGTGGCTTAACCCGCTATACCTCAGCACCAGCTCCCATTCCATGCAGGTTTAATGCTGTGATTGTCAAAGGCATCTTGCAGTAAGTGGCAGAAGATACCATGGAACAGACTCTTATCTTCTCAAACCGGCCATACTCAGTTATTTAGAAATGATTTCAGGATCTTTCCAAAGAGGTAGAGACTGCTAATACTAAACCCGAGGAAGGTTCCCAGGGGTAGGGCCGCAACATTGACACTACACTAATTTTGCTCTATGATCAGGAAATCAAACACCCAATACATGTCTTCTAAGAAATAACACTGTAGGGGCTGGTGCTGTGGCGTAGTGGGTAGAGCCGCTGCCTGAAGTGCCGGCATCCCATGTGGGCGCAAGTCTCGGCTGCTCCACTTCTGATCCAGCTCTCTGCTATGGCCTGGGAAAGCAGTAGAAGATGGCCCAAGTCCTTGGGCTCTTATACCTACGTTGGAGACCCGGAAGGGGCTCCTGGCTCCCAATTTCAGATCAACGCAGCTCCGGCCCTTGCAGCCAATTGGGTAATGAGCTAGCGGATGGAAGACCTCTCTCCTTCTCTGTGTAACTCTGACTTTGAAATAAATAAATAAATAAGTCTTTAAAAACAACAAAAAAAGTAACACTGTAACCTTAAGACTACCCGAGATATTCCTTCATATTCTAACCAACTAGTTGCTTACTCATCTTTAAAAATACTGTAGTAAAATTTAAATCTTTCTTCCTCATACATAAAATCAAGTGTGAATTTACCATATTCTGTATAAATTAATAACAAGAATGGTGATTAACATGCCTTCCTTGTATTGTTGCTGAATCTCAGAGGACAGGGATACAAACAAATGTCTTAAAAAAAAAAAACAGCATGAAACCATTTGTTTAACAAAACAACCAATTCTGACGAAACAAAAGCCTATTTCGTTAGGTTTTTACAATATAAAATAGATTTAGTACTGACATGACACAACTTTGGAATTATTAACTTTATTTGTCACTCTTCACAGACATTGGTCCACTTCCAGATGAAAAGTAGAAATCATCCCCTTCCACTTACTACTCCACGGAATGAAACTGTAGCACTAACAGAGCAACTTCACAGGTGAAGAGTTTCGGAAGCCAAAACATTTTAGATTCATGCCTCAAGATATTTCCCAAAGATCTGTTACTGTGTGTATCATTACAAGCATCTATACCCCACAAAGCTAGTCTCTCCATAGATCAATGCAGGAGTTTCAATATCTATATTAGACCAAATGGACCACAAACTTGCTGGAGTTAGAAGCCAGCTACCCTGTCCATCATCAGACAGTTCCAGAACTAAGCGACTGTATAAGCACATCCAGGTTTCAGGGCTGCACTAAGTTAGAGTGCTTTTCTGTTTCAGAGACGTTTGCATCAAATTAGGACATTTACAAGAGGTTCATCAATACAGTAGCCCAGACATTATTTTCTCCTGTCTTGTGTGAGGAGTTAAGTGTTGGTAAGTTTCTCTAATAAATTCAGTGCATTTCTCCAACATAAATAACACAGGCTATTCTAAGTGTTTCACATTTCATTCAGTGCATATTTCCAACTTTATTAAATGGAATGAAATTATATTAAATGGCTATATTGTAATATTCGAGCATATTATGTAATCTATGTCACAATTCAGTTCATATCAATACTATAATTCACTCTAAAAAAGGCATCACAGGCACAGACAAAATAGAGAACAAAAATTTTTTTTTATAAATTTATACTATCTACTTTAAACCACACTAAAAGATACATTTTAATAAAACAGCCGATTTCTAAACTCCTTTTCTAAGCCTGACATAAGGAAAGTTCAATCCATTCGAATCTTCTGGTTTGTCATCCTGTAAATGATGCTATCATATCCGGGATCCATGTTCCAGATGTTGTAAGAGGTGACAATCACCGCCAAGGCCAAGGCAATCATTATCCAAAGTACCATGTTGAAAACCACAGAGTACTCAAAGTTATACTTATATGCAAGGTTGTAGGGAGTTGTTGGGTTCTGCAGTAGAGAAAAGAAGGAAAAAGTCAATCAAGAGGGAAGAATTTTAAGAGAGGCAGTTATCGCAATGTGGTGGCTAGAGTCGCTCGTCTAAGAGACATTATTCACAGATGGCATGCGAGCGGCTTGTACCAGGGGGAACCAAGAAGGGGCGCCCTCCTGGAGAGGGGACTCGCACTGTGGGGCACAGCTGAAGCTCGCCCAGCTGCTTGAAGAGTCAGCAACCCCTCCCGAAGCCGCCTGTGTGCGCAGCCGTGCTCCGGGACCCCAGAGCCGAGCCAGAGCGTTACACACGCGCCGGGAGACACAGGCGCGAACAGCGAGGAGAGGGGCAGCCGTGGCTAGCCGCACAGGGGCTAGAACAGCTCTCAAGCGACAGAACCACAGCCACGTGTATCAGCTGGCGCGGCTCTTAAGCACACTACTGAGCAGAGGAAAGTACGGGCAGTGTGATTCTGTTCTATATCCAAATACCGGACCCACTCAACACGGCGGAAGGGTAACGCATACGCAGTCACACTGGACGGAGCGGCACGTGACAGGCAGGGCAGCAGTGACCTCTGGGCGGGCAGGGCAGACCGAGAAAATAGGCGGCCTTGCCAGGAACACGTGTGCTCTTAAGCCCCGGGGCGTTAACACGTGTCTTTAACTAGTGTTGAATGTTACACACTTCGGTATAAATGACCTAGCTGATTTAAGGAGAACAACACTGGACTACACTGCCCAGGCCTGGCCAGGCAGCGACGGAGACGCTCAGTTCACTCTTGCCCTGGAACGTGACAAGCAGGACAGCAGCAGGAGCGGAAGTAGAAGCAGGGACGACGTGGAGAGGGTGGGCTCGAGCCTAGGAGCGCTGAGAAGTCAGGGCGACTTCCAGACAGGAAGCGAGTGGCGACCAGGGTTGGCCTAAGGTGAGCGTGACGTCAGGGTGCAGGATGGGTCTGCGACAGGCCAGCTGGGGAAGCAGGGAAGCGAGCTGGGGGCAGCGACCTAGTGAGGCGCGAGCACCGCGGGCGGGGTGCCTGGCAGTGAGGACGGAGAACAGCCCAGTGCGATGCGCCCGCAGCACCCAGCACGTGCTGAGCACTCGGTCAAGGTCTCCTCCAACTCTTCTCCCTCTCGCCTGCGACTTCAGCTGGAGGAGGATGGGGACACAGATGTGTGGTTACCCGCACGGAGCTCACGGGTAGCCCTGACCGCCTCTGTTTCTCTGGGTGAGTGGCTTCGCTTTCCCATGCATTTTACGTGTAGGACGCCGCGAGGTTTAGTGCATTCAGAGTTCCACGGTCATTGTCACAATCTAATCCCAGAACCCTAAAAACCCTTACACTGAGGCCTCTCTCCTCCAGGAAGCAGGAGAGGCCCTCGGCGCTGAGTGTGCAAGGGGACCAGACTGCCAAAGTGTTCCACGGCGTGTGCGGGCCCCACTTCCCACCTCACGTGGGAAGACATGGAACCTACAGATTGCAGATGGCGTGTGGAGCATGTGACTTCTCCACCCCGAGGTGAAGACCAGCCAGTGACATCGCCTCGTTCCTGCCCCTCACTGCACGGAGAATTAGAGAAGCTCCTCTCTAAGAAACTCAGCTTAGGCCGGCGCCGCGGCTCACTAGGCTAATCCTCCACCTTGCGGCGCCGGCACACCGGGTTCTAGTCCCGGTTGGGGCGCCGGATTCTGTCCCAGTTGCCCGTCTTCCAGGCCAGCTCTCTGCTGTGGCCCGGGAGTACAGTGGAGGATGGCCCAAGTGCTTGGGCCCTGCACCCCATGGGAGACCAGGAAAAGCACCTGGCTCCTGGCTCCTGCCATCGGATCAGCGCGGGCGGTGCGCCGGCCGCGGCGGCCATTGGAGGGTGAACCAACGGCAAAGGAAGACCTTTCTCTCTGTCTCTCTCTCTCACTGTCCACTCTGCCTGTCAAAAAAAATTTTATTAAAAAAAAAGAAACTCAGCTTATCCACTGAAGCAGCCGATTCACAAATTCCAGCTAATGCCTCACAGAAGACAATAATTCAGCTCTACAAAGCTTACTGGCCAAAACAAAAACAAAAACAAAACCAGGGGCCAGCACTGTGGCATAGTAGATTAAGCCTCCACCTGCGGCAACAGCATCCCATATGGGCACCAGTTTGGGTCCCGGCTGCTCCACTTCGGACCCAGCTCTCTGCTATGGTCTGGGAAAGCAGTGGAGGACGGCCCAAGTCCTTGGGCCCCTGCACCTGTGTGGGAGACCCAAAAGAAGGTCCTGACTCCTGGCTTCAGCCTGGCTCAGCCCTGGCTGTTGCAGCCATCTGGGGAGTGGACCAGCAGATGGAAGACTTCTCTGTAACTCTCAAATAAATAAATCCTTAAAAAAAAAAAAAAAACAAAAAAAAAACAAAAAACCCACCCAAAAAAAACCCTTCTTCAAACTTCTCTCTGGAGTCAATTCTTATCAAATTAGCAGGCCTAACATGCAACACTGAAAGAATCTATTACGTAAAAGCTTTCCCCTTAAATCCAAATCAGTTTTTAAATGAAGGCTGTTCTTTAACTCCTTCTATTTCTTTTTTTTTTTTTTTTTTGACAGGCAGAGTGGGGGGAAAGAGAGAGAGAGAGAGAGAGAGAGAGACACACACACACACACACACACACACACACACACAAAGGTCTTCCTTTTTCTGTTGGTTCACCCCCCAATGGCTGCCGTGGCAGGCACGCTGCGGCCGGCACACTGCGCTAATCCGAAGCCAGGAGCCAGGTGCTTCTTCTGGTTCTTTTTTTTAAAAAAAAAAATTTATTTATTTATTTATTTGAGAGGCAGAGAGAGAGAGAGAGAGATCTGCTGGTTTACTCCCCAGATGGCTGCAACGCCTGGAGCTGCACCAATCCAAAGCCAGGAGCTTCTTCCATGTCTCCCACGTGGGTGCAGGGGCCCAAGCGCTTGGGTCATCTGCTGCTTCCCCAGGCCATAGCAGAGAGCTGGATCCAAAGTGGAGCAGCTGAGACTCAAACCAGTGCCCATGGGATGCTGGTGCTGCAGGCGGAGGCTTAACCTGCTACGCCACAGGGCCGGCCCCGACTCCTTCTATTTCTATAATCAGTTGCCACTTACTTTATGGCTTATACCCATACTGTATTATTTGAAGTTCTTGGGGATCTAATTTTGCTCTCTGCTCTTCTAACCAACTCAGACTCATGGCAGATTGCTCTGCCTGTGTTTTATACTTTTGTAAGTTCCCTTTTAGGAAGACGAGCTGTGACCGTGTTCTGCCAGAGAGGTTTTACGTTTAGTTCTGCTAGGTGCTATGGAGGTCTCAGCCTGGTGCCTAGGGCTTTCTAGAACTTGCTTGCAGGCAATATATAAAAAAATTTTTTTTGAACAGGCAGAGTTAGAGAGAGAGAGAGAGAAAGGTTTTCCTTTTCCGTTGGTTCACCCCACAAATGGCTGCTACGGCTGGCGCTGCGCCAATCCAAAGCCAGGAGCCAGGTGCTTCTCCTGGTACCCCATGCAGGTGCAGGGCCCAAACACTTGGGCCATCCTCCACTGCACTCCCTGGCCACAGCAGAGAGCTGGCCTGGAAGACGGGCAACCAGGACAGAATCCGGTGCCCCGACTGGGACTAGAACCTGGTGTGCCGGTGCCGCAGGTGGAGGATTAGCCTAGTGAGCCACGGCGCCGGCCGGCAATATAAATTTGAACCCTAAACCTATATGAAGGTAGTTAAGAATTTGCTGGGAGAGGGGCAGGCGTTTACCTCAACAGTTAGCACACCCACAATCCCACATCGGAGCACCCGGGTTTGATGCCTGGTTCTGGCTGTGGATTCAGCTTCCTGCTAACACACCTTGGAGCAGTGGTGAGGGATGGCTCGAGTTCTTGGGTTCCTGCCACCCACATGGGAGACTTGGATTGAGTTCCTAGCTCTTGCCTTCAGTCTTAGCCAGCTTTGGCTGTTGCAGATATTTTGGGGGAATGAACCAGTGGGTGAAAGATCTCATTTTTCTCTCTCAAATAAATAATTTTAAAAAATTGCTTAGGAGGGCCGCTGTTGTGGTGTAGTGGGTAACGCGGCATCCCCTATGGGCACTGGTTCATGTCCCGGCTGCCCCACTTCCGATTCAGTTCCCGGCTAATGGCCTGGAAAAAACAGTGGAAGATGGCCCAAGTGTTTGGGCCATGCCACCCACTTGGGAGACCCAGATTAAGCTTCTGGCTTTAGCCTGGCTCAGCCCTGGCCAATGTGGCCATCTGGGGAGTGAACCAGCAGATGGAAGATTCTCTCTCTTTCTGTATCTCTTTCAAATAAAATCATTTAAAAAACTGCTTGGGAGACACACCCACGCCCAAAGCATACGCCATCCCCCGCAGCCTAAACTGTCTTTCTGTCTGCCTGCTGGTGGGCTGCTCGTTTGGTCGATGTTCTTACTGCAGGTGCTTTGGCATCAGCTCCAGTCCCTCTGACACAGGGAGCCAAGACCTCCTGGTAACCGACTCCCAGAGGTTCTTGGGGCAGCCTGCTTATTACTACAGATTTCAAGTTCCTTTTCTTTACTCTGTAAGAATTTCTCTTACTTTCTGGAGAGCTGAACCACAGCCTTTTAAAAAGGTGTTCATATTTTATCTAGCACTTCTACATGCTGGGTTGCGGACGTGTTTTAGGTTGTCCAGGCTGCCATGCTGCCTCAAACAGAGGTCCCTCCACTCCGATTTAAAATGGAACAATCCCAAACCTGTCATCTCTAGGCCATCTTAAGCAGGTGTTCACTTCGACCTTCTTTCTGCCATCAGTAAACCTGCGCAGAGTGGGGAGTGTGGATAAATGACTGGGTACCTGGGCAAGGTGGGGAGTGTGGATAAATGACTGGGTACCTGAGCGAGGTGGGCAGTGTGGATAAATGACTGGGTACCCGGGCAAGGTGGGGAGTGTGGATAATGACCAACAAAGCTCACGGTAGACAATGTTCTTGACTACATGATGTTTGGTACCCACAATACTCTTTTCCACTATCATATCCATAGAGTTGTGAAACCGTATGTTTGTTTGTATATATGTAGGTATACATATGTACACACATGTTTTACCATGGACACCAACCTTGCCTCTGACCCACTAAATGTTAAAATCAAAGCAAGATCCACCCCAAGAGACTGCTGAAGTCAACAAAAATTATACAGAGTTGTGCAAGAAAGGATGGAAGAAAATGAGCCTGTGCCCCAGACACCGGGCCTCCCAGAAGTGCAGTGCCCACTGGCCGGGGGAGCCACACGGCTCCCTTGTACGGCCCTCAAGGTCTCCTTGTACAGCCCGGTCTCTGCATGGCCTTCTTGGCTTTAACATATTGATTTTTATCCCAAACTCCAATTCTTGGTTGTCTGATTACAACCCCAAAGAGCTGGCCACCACTGGCAAGATGTGAGTGAGAAAGCTTCGTTTCAACTGGAATATTATTTTTCGGATTTACCAGCTGCTCATTCATGTCACCCACAAGAGATACAGGATTGAATTGGCTTTTCAAAGTTAGGCTTAGAAGTTTTACAGCAGGTTCTAAAAACATACTCACCTCTTGTCTGGTCTCAAGGATAGTCCTTGTCTTCCTCACGAGGGATGGGTCATATGATTTGACAGTCACTAACTCTACCACGGCGTTCCCACCATAAAGATTGTACATGTCATCTGCAAACTGAAAATCACTTATTAATGCGATTAGCCTCAAATACACATTTGTCATTTTTATGTTGACAAACAAAAATAGTATATATTCATTGTGCATAACATGTTTTGAGACCTACATACATTGCAAGATGGCTAAAGTGAGCTAATTCACATGCGTATCTTTTTTTTTTTGCTGGCGGAGTCCAATACATTCTTACTAAAATGGTTTATAAAGTCTCCATGTAGCTGCAAAACCATACACTCACCTACTTGCTCATGATATACACTATGTCTTAAAACATGCGAGTCTTAAAGGTTTTGATTATGTTAAAAGATTCAGAAAAGTGTTCAGCTTTAACATCTAAATAAAATGAAATTACTTTGAGACTGAACTTGTTGGCATATAAACTTGGGGAAGGGAAGCAGAAAGCGCAATGAAGGAATCTTCCTGGGGCGGGGCCTTCGGTGCAGTGGGTAACACACCACTCGGGACGCCTGCACACCATGTCGGGGTGCTGAGGTCTGGGTTCTGGCTCCACTCCCAATTGCAGCTTCCTGCTAATGCCCACACCGGGGGACAGCAGGTAAATGACTCAAGAACTTGGGTTTCTGCCACCCCTGTGGGAGACCTGGAATGAGTCCTGGGCCTGGCTTTGACCTGGCCCAGCCTGGGCTATTGTGGGCATTTGGAAAGTGTCTCTCTGCCTCTCAAGTAAATAAAAATCAATAATAATAAACAGCAGTCTTCCTAAGTCCTCTCTGGTTAATCACAAACTTTACAAAGAACTAGAGATCTGCAGGTGGACAACTTCAAGGGTAGAGAACAAGCATTTATTATGCACCTACTAAATGTCTGGCACCGTGCTAGGTATTCTACTTTGGCTATCTCACAGTGCTTAATGAGTACAGTGTTTCAGCTGAGGAAAATAAGAAAGTTCTTGTGATAGAGGTGGTGATGGCTGTACAATATGTAAATGTGCTTGAGGCCACTGAACCATACACTTACAAATGGTTCCAATGGTAAGTTTTATATATTCACACACACACACACACACACACACACACACAACTATACCAGATGTATCACTCATTTCCTAGTGCTGCCCCTTCCAGCGTCAGGAAAAAGTATCCCAATGTACATACGCCACCTTTGATCCCGCTCTGTCCTTGGCCACTGTGCGGAGAGGTCCCCCGCAGAGGACACGTAAGACTTGCCCAGGTTTCATGGAGCAGTTCTCCGTGAGGCCCAGCGTGGGACGGGCGTGCCCCAGCCTCTCTTACCCAGGGGGCATTTACCTTCTGCAGGGCGTCCACAAGGATCCTAGAAGCATCCTGGAACTGCTCAGACTCTTCCCCGTAGCGCTTCCCAATTTCATCCAAGCCTGCCAGCTCCAGCGAATACAGATCTGGAGAGTGATCCTTGGCTAGATGCTTATGTCGTGACAACTTAGCAGAACAAATAAAACAAGATCGTGGATGAAGTACAGCATCAGACACAGCCATCTGAGGTTTTATGCCTTACTGCACTGGGCTACAGAGAACCACAGCAGCATGCCACGGCAGACAGACAGTCTAAAGTGGGGGCGAGGGGAACTGGCTTTAAGCGGAGGTTTTTGATAAAACCCACCTAACACAAATCTCATTGTTAGGAGCAGTTCCGGACCCCCTGAATATGTAATAAAAGCTCATCACAAAATGCCTTAGTTCTAAAACTTCAGATACGAGCCCGGGGGTGAAAGAACAGATGGCTGGCCTGGCTTGGCCTCAGGAGTACACGAGCCACTGGTGGCCAAAGGGGAGACGCCTCCCACGGGCCCTCCGAGACCACCTCCTAGTGTCCCAGCACTATAGTTCCACAACTTCTCCCTCCCCCAAAGCAACACCTGCTGCAAAGCTTAGGAACCAACTTCAGCAGCAAGCAGATAGGTAAGAATTTTGATTTCAGTCACAAGGATGATTTTCTAAAATGCATTCACCACAAAAATGCCTTTCAGACAGATTTAGTTCCTCTTGACTTTTTCGACAGCACTATCAGCCCAAAGTGCTATTTCTATTTTAGGCCCAAAGATGCAAAAAGTAAGTCTTAGTGTCTGAGAAGAACTCAATGGTCAAGTTAGGACTACAGCTGAGGCGTTCTTATTCCCAGGTCTGTGTCCTTGGAGGATATATTGTCTCTCCTAAGAGTAGAAACGTCAAGTAATTGGTCTTTAACATGAGATGAGTTTACAACTCCCAACACCACCACTAATTTCCCAGTTTTCATGAGATCACAAATCTTGGGCATAAACTTTTCAAATGTCTTCACTATCATTCAGGGAATTCTCTAGAAACTAGGCCAAATGGAACTGAGAAATGAGAGCAGGCAACTTACCAAACTTGAAATGTCCTGTAACACTTGCAGTTCAGAAAGAAAGAGCAGGTCAACCTTCAGAGCCAAAGGAAACGAGCATTACTTTAAGTATGCATCAGAGAGCTGTACAAGGGGACTTCAAAAAACTCACGGAAGGGGCCAGTGCTGTGGCGTAGCAGATAAAGCTGCCGCCTACAATGCTGACATCCCATATGGGTGCCGGTGCGAGTCCCACCTGCTCCACTTCTGATCTAGCTCCCTGCTAATGTGCCTGGGAAAGCAGTGGAAGGTGACCCAAGTCCTTGGGCCCCTGCACCTGTGTAGGAGACCCAGAAGAAGCTCCTGGCTTCAGATTGGCCCAGCCCATCGTTGTGGCCATCTGGGGAGTGAACCAGCAGATGGAAGATTCTCTCTCTCTCTCTGCTTCTGTCTGTAACTCTGCCTTTCAAATAAAAAAAGTGGCAGTAGCACTGAACAATGGCTTCCATGTGACCAGGACTACATGGTTCCGCTAGCCGCCAAGGAGACACGATTTCTGACCCATCTTGAGTAATGGTGGCAGTGTGTGTGGAGGGGGACCGGACCCTCATGCCAGAAGGTAATACTATTTTCTACAGCTCAGTTCACAAAAACAATCAGTTTACTCACGAGATCTATATGAGAACAACCACAGAGAATCTACTACAGCAGAAAACTTGCACAACTTTCATTTTCTAAAATCTCAAACGGCATAAGGAATAGGAAACTGATGATGATTTTCATTTGCTCATTCAGCAACCACTCCACTTACTTCATTGTTCCTGCTCAGAGAATTGAGGGGGAGGGAATTGAGAATGGAGCTTTCCTGGAACAGGCGGTTACGAAGCTGCCGTAAAGTGACCGAGAGATCTTCAAACACGGAGTTTGCCTTCCCCACCATATACACTCTCTGCGAGGAGAATCCCAGATGTTACGTGACAGTCTACAGATTAATCCCAATTTACCCAGGTCTCACAGCGCTTTTCATAAAATTGTTAGTGTTGTTATCATGAAATAATGAAAGGTTAGTTTTAAAAGCATCAATAAAAACTTCATTACTCACTTCTTCACTGGGGGCCAACTGCAAAACTACAGGAGTTTCTTCGGAAAATAAGGAGTGAATGGAATTTGCAACGCTGTCAAGACTAAAAGGAACTGCCTGAAATAGAAGAGTAAAAAAACCACCATTATTATCTGAACCGAAGTGGAAAGAAAAATCATTCAGATGGCATTGAAAAGGAGCCTTACAAGGAGAAGGCACCAGCACTTTCTATGGAAATTTAGAAGACACAAATCACTTCTGAATAAAAAGACCCCCTGTGGAGGGCACAGAAGATGAAACCGCCCCCTAGTGGGCCGAGTCGGGATCTGCCAGTGTGCCTAAGTGGGAAATAATTGGCCCAGGTCTAACGCGGACCATTTTCTGGTTATTCGTGTATCCAAGGCAGCAAAACATTTGGTTTCAATACTGATTAAATGTACCATATCGAATTGTGCATTCCACAGCAAAGTATTAACTTGCATCGAAGAGAAGGCTAAAGGAATCTGAATTCATTTATTATTATTTATTGAATTTAACGGTAAGAGAAAACAGACCTCATTTTCTTTTCAAAGTTTAAAAATGTTCCCTAAGATTTGGAGTTTGTCTTCAGCTGGCCTGAAGACCCATAGACAAGGGGTGGAGAGCACACCCCAGAATTCTGAAGCCTTTATCTCGGGACCACATGACGGTATTAGCTGAAAAGGCTGGCTGTGAAAAGACCTACTTTTTCACTGAACTTTTTTTTTTAGCCAAGTGTTAACATACATACAACAGACGGCGCAAACCCTAAGGTCCCAGCTCCACGAGGGCTTCCGAGGGAATGTGCCTGGGTTAGCAGCCACATGAAGACACAGAGCACGCTGGCGCCCCGGAGGCACTCTCCTCCACCCTCTGGCTTCTAGCCCCATATACTTGTTTTGCTTTAAGTGATTTAAAAATATATATTGGGGCCGGCGTTGTGGCACAGCAGGTTAAACCACTGCCTGTGCTGGCATCCCGGCTGCTCTACTTCCAATCCAGCTCCCTGCCAATGTGCCTGGGAAAGCAGCGGAAGGTGGCCCAAGTCCTTGGGCCCCTGCACCCATGTGGGAGACCTGGAAGAGGCTCCTGGCTTTGGCCTGGCCCAGCCCCAGCTGTTGCAGCCATTTGGGGAGTCAACCAGCAGATGGAAGGCCTTTCTGTCTTTCCCTCTCTCTCTGCAGATCTGCCTTTCACATAAATATTTAAAAATATATATATATTTTCTTCTCAAAAAATTATTCCTTATATTACTGTACTCAAACAAGCAGTAGTGATTTTTTTCCTCCAGTAGTTCCCTTTCCTACTGAACGGTTCATGTTTATAAGTAGCAAATTAATGCTAATGTGCTACAGGCAGAAATCGATGTGATTATATAAATCTTGCTGATGAAATCCCAGCATCAAAATTAAGCTTATCAATTTCATGATACTGCAAAATGAAATCAATTTTTTCTCTTACTTAGGATGCACATTAACTCTTTTAAAAACTTTCTTAAAATGAGTTAATGAGTAACTGAAGAGGGTGCAAACTTGCAAAAGCTTCCTGTTGCCAGGCTCCTGGAGTCGGCTGCCAGTGCTTTCCCTTTGCCATCAGAAAGGTCACTTCCTCAGGCTTTGGAGGGACTACAAGATACTTCAAAATGTTCAAGGAAAAATGGAATTGAAAGACAAGTTTATTTTGGTGCAAAAAAGTTGAAATACATGCATACAAGAGGTCTTTAAATAAACATCTCGTAATTCCATCTCCCACAAACTCTTTGAAGTACTCTCCGACATGAGCAAGTGACAGAGACTCGCCAGCACATCTCACTGGTGAGACGGCACTAGGTGCCGGGTGGAAGTTAGAAAGTGTGTTGGGGTGGGAGTGGGCTAAGGAAGACAAAGCAGCTGCAGAAGCTCCCCTGGGAAGCAGCCCAGGATTTCACACTACCAAGTCCTGCCCAGAGCCCAGTAACTCTCCAGGCGGTCCCAGCCTTCCTGCCCCAGGAAAGCTCTCTCCTCAGTACCACGTGGGCTACCTCGCCAGAAGACGTGGAGCAATAAAACCTTCACAGCTTTCCCCCAGGGCAGGCACCCTAGGGCAGCCCCTCTGCCTGGCGCCAGGAACCCCCCCAGTCTGACAGCACCGCGTCCTGAACCCTTGGGAGGAATTCACCTAACGCACACTCAGCAAACCCTTCGTCCTGGAGGAGGAGGAGGGGGAGACGCGGAGAGAACTGGGCCCGTCCCCTTAGAAGCCCCAGTGTGAGTAGAGACTGCGCTCAGCTCTCAGCGCTCTGCTGAGCGGCCCACCTGGCCTGCCAGGTGCATTCTCTCCATGGAACCCTGTGACCCTGCCTTCCCCAGCCCGAGTGAGTGGGCGCTCTTTCTCAGAGTCTGTGTGCAGAGGTGCCCATCTGTTCTCACGGCTGCCCCACCCCATTACACCTTGCTACTCTCTGCTCACGTCTGAATTCTTTCTTGCGAGAAGACAAGAACCTATCACACCCATCTCTGCTAACACTTCTAGGTTTTAAAAAATATCATGAAGGGTCTGTGCTCTGAGCCTTACATCTCAGCAGCTTCTGGTGGGGGAAAAGTGTTTTTGAGAGCGGCCAATCAGGGGCAAGCAGTAGAAAGAGCTCCTTCCCCAGCTTGCGGGTGTGTGAAATGCGCCCGGGCCATTTGCCAGTGTCTACTTTGTGATTACATGCTGCTGGGAATCATGAAATGGCATTTTGGACTTTTTTATTTAAAGGAAAGCTCCTACAATATTTTTCTCCGAAATTGCATAATACATTACATAAATACTCCTGGGGAAAAATAATCTGCCTTTTCGTCTGTATGGTTCCCTCCCACTTTACTCGCACTTCCTGTGAAACTCTTCTGGTTTCTTTAAGCTCATTAATTTCCAATCGTGCTCCATCTAAATTGTCTAACATGCACAGGTAAGGCTATACATTTCCCTTCTCTTTCCACTTCAGCTGCACCCTACAACTTTGTAACAAATATATGCCACATTCATTGCTATTCACTTCCAAATGCTGTAGAAATTCCCAGTGACTTCCTCCTCAGGCCACGCATTATTTAAGAGTGTATCTATTTGTTCCAACTCTTCTTGATTTTTTAGAATAAATTTCTTTCCAAAGTGACATACACACATGGCTTAAAGAGACGAACAGGTCCATAAGACTTCGTGTGCCACTTTGCATTCCTTCTGAGGGACTCAGCTTGCAATCCGTCAATTACTTCCTTTTGTTTTTACCACCTGCTCTAAATAAGACACTCAGCTCACTGAATCGATGTTTCCATTTGAGGCGCTTCCTGTGTCCTGTCCCTTCTAGAACAGGAGGATGAGCTCTCCCACACCCCAAGCACAGCCCCAGCCCCTGCCAGCGCCGGGATCCTTTTCCGTCTCTCCAGCCTCCCAATCGTTCCATGGCATTGTCCCTGCTTAGCACTGTTTCATTATGACGCTAGGTAAGTAATACTGGCAGCCTACCTTACACCCCACAATCACTGCTTCTCCCTTCTGACTCTCCTGGTCCGCAGTGGCAGTGACAATGAGGGGACATCTACTATCATTCTACTCTCATTCCTTTGTAACGATAATGTCTTTTCTGTCTGATAGCATTTAAGATCTTCTGTTTCCTTTTGTAATGTCTCTATATCTAGATACCAATTTGGCTTTACCTGCTGGGTGTGCAGTATATTTTAAACCCAAGGAGTCGTATCTTTTGTTTGTTTTTATCATTTCCACATACTTTCGTTTTTAACTGACAAATAATTGTATATATTTATGAGGTTCAGTGTGCTGTTTTGACACATGTACACATCGTGGAATGATCAAATCAGGTTAGTTAACAAATCCATCACTTCACGTACTTATCATTGTTTTGTGGCTAAGACATCTAAAATCTACTCTTTAACCAATTTTGAAGAACACAATGCATTATTATTATGCCATTCTTGCACCATTCTGTGCAACAGGTCACTAACGCCTGAGCCAGCAATTCCACTTCAGCCTGTGCATGCGAAGGAAATGAAAGCACGCCAAAGGGCTGTCTGCACCTGCACGCCGTGTCCGCTGCAGGCCCAGGGTCCACCCGCAGGTGACAGGATTAAGAAAGTGTGACGTATGCACACAAGGGAGGACTATTCAGTCTCAAAAAGGGGGTGAAGCCTGTCATTTGCAACAACACTGACAAGCCTGGATGACGTTACGATAAGTGAAATCAACCAGGCACAGGACAAATACTGCATGATCTCATTTGTAGGTGGAATCTAAAAGAGCTGGCTTAAATACAGAGAGTAGACTGATGGTTACCAGACACTGCAGCGGGACTGGATGGGGAAAATGGCCAATGCTGATCTGAACACAATCCTAAACAACCATTTTGTCTTTATGCTCAGATTTAGCTGCATTGTGGTTACCGGATATGGAATTCTTCATTGTTGAGATCTGCCTTATGGCCTAGCACATGGGTCATCTTTTGTAGTATCCCATGTGTGCCTGGGATTAATTTAATCTAGACCACAGCAACATCTGAACAAAAAATTCAGTCTTGGGGCTGGCACCATCGCGCAGCAGGTTAAGACACCATCTGCAGTGCTGGCGTCCCATATGGGCACCGGTTCAAGTCCTGACTGCTCCACTTCTGATCCACCTGCCTGCTAATGTGCCTGGGAAAGCAGTGGCAAGATGGCACAAGTGGTTTGGCCCCTGAAACCATGTGGGAGGCCCGGGAGAAGCTCCTGACTCCTGGCTGCAGCCTGGCCCAGCCCCGGCCATTGCGGCCATTTGGGGAGTAAACCAGCAGATGGGAGATTTCTCTCCTTCTCTGTAACTCTGCCTTTCAAATAAATAAAATAATTCTTTAAAAAAAATTTGTTTTCCCAAACTCAGCATCATATAGACCACAGTCTTACACAATGCAATGACATTAGAAATTTAAAAATCAGTAGTTATTTAATATCAATAAAAGCACCATATATCACACATGTCTTATAACTGCCTCCTAGTTTCTATTCCTTCCAATTTTTTACAGTTTTAATATATGCACTGAAAAATTTTTTTTGGGATTTGTTTAGGGAGACAACTTTTGTTTGCTGCACCTGCTGACTTTTTCACAACATTTTTTTTTCCTGCAAGTACTTTGTAAATTTGGCTCACCTTCAGTTTTTCACCAGAGGAGCCCTAGGCTGTGAATTCGGAATGACCTACTCTGCACATAGCATGTTTCTCTCTGGGGACTCTTTGGGCCCCAACAGCCCAGGCGGCAAGCCAGCTCCTCAGGGGCAGCTGGGGCTTTACTGTCTTGAAGAAAGCATGACAGCATTTTATACTCTCCAGCTCTGTGCAGAGAACACAACTGCAAAGTCAGCTTCTGCTCACCACTGTGGCTTCTGAGCTAGATTGCTTGCTTCTTTGTATTTCTGAATTTTTATTACTGGAAAGCCAGAGAGGCAGACTGAGAGTTTACTCCCCAAATGCCTGTAACAGCCAGGGCTGGGCCAGGCCAAAGTCAGGAGCTGGGAACTCCATCTGGGTCTCCCACCTGGGTGGCAGGGACCCAGGTACTAGAACCAGCACCGGCTACCTCCCAGGGTGTGCATTAACAGGAAGCTGGCATTGGAAGCACAGCCAGGACCTGAACCCAGGCAGTGTGATATGGGATGCAGGTGTCCCAAGTGGAGTTTGTGACTGCTGTGACAAATGCCACCGCTGCTCTGGGTTTTCTGCTCATGTCTGGCACTGTGTGTACCCCCTTCTCACTGTCCAGTTTCATCATGCCTGTAGAGATGGCTCCGTGAAGTCCTAGCCTGTACTTGTATGTGCCTGCGGGGGAAGGACAGCGCCCACTTCAGCTCCGTCACCTGCAATGGCCAATAGCCTGGGAAGGAATGAGTGAGCTGGCAAGCCTTTAGTCTGCCTACACACAAAGATGACATCCTGCAGGGAAGGCCACAACACGATGTCCAAGAGAACGTCAGCAGGATCATGGTCAAACTGGTACTTTTTCAGTGGCTCTCTCTTCTGAGCACCCCCCCCCCCCCAGCCAGAATATTCTGGGTGGGGTGATTTTGCTCTGATCTTAGAAAAGTGCTCTCACCTGTACAGAACAGCCAAGTCTCAATGAATTTACAACCACAGCATCATTTTCTAAAAGAAACTGTTTTCCAAAGAATCCCAAAGGAAATTGTGTTTTCAAGAAATTGTGCTTCAAACACAAGAAGAGTATGTTCAGAATATAGTTCACACTGACAGCTGACAAAATTCTAAAAAGAGCATATCCCTTTAATTTCTGATCATCAATACTCACATTCTCCAGCGGGTATGAAATGACACTGCCGGGAGGCAGAGCCAGTTTGTCCACTCCCTTCACCACCACCATGACAGTGGCCCGAGGCCGGTGGAACAGGTCACCCACTGCCAGTCCTGGCCAGGAAAGGTCCTGCGTATGCGAAAGTACAAATGGTGCTGAATGATGAACTCGGAAAGCCACCTCCCCAGCATCTGGACATCTTAGCAGAGCTCAGGCGGTCTGCGGGGACACTGGCAAGGCCAAAGCCCAGGGAAAATCAACCTTGCACTCTCCTAATCAAGGAGCCTAATTTCTGCCTCCCTTGTTTTCTTAAAGTTTTACAGATTTGAAACAAAATCTGTGAGTCATCTGTAACCTTTTATGGAAAAAGGTAGGCAAGTGAACAAAATACAGGTACTTTTCTAATTCCAGCTTGCAAAGTCTTCTTCAGGTAGCGCTGAGTACTTTCTTCCCTACTTAATTTTTTCCTTTATATGCAGAATCACTTCTTTCTTTCTTGGTAACCTATCAACTGTCAATTTTTCTTAAAGATTATTTATTCATTTGGAAGTCAAAGTTATAGAAAGAAAGGGAGAGGTGGTTCACTCCCCAGATGGTCTCAATGGCCAGGGTTGGGCCAGGGTGGAGCCAGGAGCCAGGAGCTCCATCAGGGTCTCCTACATAGGTGGCAGGGATCCAAGCACTTAGGCCATCGTCTGCTGTTTTCCCCAGACCATTAGCAGGGAGCTAGATCAGAAGAGAAGCAGCTGGGACTTGAACCGGTGTCCATATGGGATGCTGGCATCACCAGCCAGAGGTTTACCAGCTAAGCCACAGTGCCAGTCCCAAGACTGTCATTAATACAGTTTCTTCAGACTAAGCTCTTTCTAAATTAAATTCCTGCTGAAAGTAACTCATATTAGTTTGCTAATAATTATTTCTAAAGATTATTTTAAGTCGTTTTTATTCACATTTCAGGCTGTAAAGAACTAGGTACAAATTTCATCCTGGGGCTGGTGTTTGTGGCATAGAGGGTTAAGCAGCCACTTGGCAATCTGGCATCCTATGTGGGCACTGGCTCAAGTCCCGGGTGTTCCACTTCTGATCCAGCTCCCTGCTGGATCAGGGAGCCAGTAAAAGCAGCATATGATGGCCCAAGTACTTGGGCCCCTGCCACTCACATGGGAAACCTGGATGGAGTTTCAGGCTCCTGGCTTTGGCCTGACAGCTCTAGCCACTGTGGCCATTTGGGGAGTGAAACAGTGTATGGAAGATATCACTCTCTCCCTTTCTGGCTCTCTCTAACTCTGCCTTTCAAATAAATAAATATTTATGTAAAAAAAAATCACCCCTAAGTGGAAACAACCAATCGCGTTCACTTTGGTTGCCCAAAGAGACTGCAAAGGGTTCAGGGGCCCCGGCTTCAAGCCCAGCAGTGAAGCAGTTCCCAAGCCGAGCTTCCTGTTTCAAGGGTGCTGAGAATCTAGGGGGGAAGTTCCTTTCGGTCACTGGTGATATCTGGAGACCGTACCAAAAGCGCTAGACTTAGAAAGTGAGAAGAGACAATGACAGCAAAACAAAGCCAACGAACTGCAAGTCTTTCCTTCTAAGCCCTTAGCTTCAGATCTCTCATGAGGACAGCATCTAGGCCCCTCTGCAACAGGTTCTAGCTTTGTCCAGCAAGCCAAGGTCCCAGGCTGCCGTGAGCTACTGACCACATTGTTTTCCTAACCTTGGGCAAGATGTACATACATGCTATCATGTTTAGCAAATCTATCACCTGCACCAAAATAAAAATCACACATTCTGTCAATATGGGCATAATGCATTCTTTTATAGACAAAGGATTTTACCACTATGAATGAACAATTACGGGCCTCACGATTTATGACTTGGTTTCCGAAGCCAAGCTTGAAGCACTTAACCAAATCCTCCATAGCTACAAAGGAGCTTTTTCATTGGTGTGATCTGTTGCAAATTTAGCTATGTTTGTTGCCTTTTTGAGCCCTTAGTAGAAATCAACAAAAATGTCTTTAGAAGCAGCACCAAGCATTTAAAAGCAACACACATACTTCTTTTACAGAGAAGCCCATGGACAGTGCAGCCACATCTGGGATTCGCTCTCCTGGTATCGGCCAGTTGCCATTTCGGAAAACAACAGACCCTGGTGATCTTAAGATGCTAAACTCATTGCCCAGGACACCTAAGGAGAAAACAGATTAGGAAGCGAATTACTAGCACCATACAGCTTTTGCAACCCACTTGGAAGATTATTAAATATAATACATGTTTCTTCATTCTCCAGTGACATGGCAGACAAAGTTGTGATTGGACAAACTGCTGAATCCTAAACATCAACAAAGTATTTTTCAAAGTATCACTTTAAGAATCTAAGTCCATACATTCTGCCTGGACAAAGGCACAACTACCAAACAGGATTCTCCTGATGATCTAGAAGCCGTCCCGGCCCTTAACAGGGGAACATACAGCAATTTGGCAAGAACTAGAAATGAGTGACAGGAACACTTCCTCTGTTTCTCAGAATGGAGTATTATCCAAACTCTAGAAGCAAAAATAAAGCCAAGGGGCAGGTGCTGTGGTGTAGTGGGCTAAAGCCACAGCCTGCAGTGCCAGCATCCTATATGGGCCCTGGCTGTTCCACCTCTGATCCAGCCCCCTGCTAATGCACCTGGGAAAGCAGTGGAGGACGGCCCAAGTCCTTGGGCCCCTGCATCCATGTGGGAGACCTGGAAGAAGCTCCTGGCTCCTGGCTTCGGATCAGCTCAGCTCCAGCTGTCGTGGCCATTTAGGGAGTGAACCAGCAGATGAAAACCCCTCTCTGTCTCTACCTCTCTCTGTAACTCTGTCTTTCAAACAAATAAAAAAATATTTTTTTAAAAATAAAGCCAATGAAGAACTTTAAACAAAAAAGGAAAAGTCAATGTCATTTCTCTAGAATTAAAAACAAAAACAAAAAAATCACCCTGGCACTGACTCAGAAGGAAGAAAACCTGAAGTCTCTTCATGATTTTTACCATCAACCCTCTCTACAAAATCCGAAGTCATGAAGTTCCACTATTTCACCCTAAGACCGCAGCAAGTTAGTATGTCAGGATCGATCATGTCTTTGCTTAGGCCCCACAGGCAAACCCAGTGAATATAAAACACCTCAGAAATGAAGTCCAGAAAATAGTATTTACAGTTGACGTATGCAGAGGGTGAGAAAAGGTATATAAGGCCAAGGGTACGGGGGCCTGGGATTAAAAGATTAAGGATGAGAAAAGGGACTATTTATCCTGCATGAGGTATTTGGCCTCTACACCATTATGCATTGCCCCAGGGATGGGTAACTTCCACAGGGACTAGCAGCTCACCCAAACTTCTTACTTCCTGTGAAAAGATTAGCTCCAAAAATCCCAAAGAAATCTGCTGTGCCTAGCAGGGTGCAATTTGACTTTAGTAAAGCAACAACATGATTCTCTGGACCTAACTTATCGCTGAAAGGTCTGAACGAAGTCAGAAGGCAACAGTACATGTTTTGGCATTACAATATTGACAGTAAATAAAAGGCTTCAGGATGGTGATGATACAACAGAACGAGTTATGAGTTTCAATTTGGCACAGCCGCCAGAGCAGGAATTTCCAAATGGTTCTAGCCCAAGGCCGACACACACAGAGAGACCGGCATGAAAGGGTCACCTCTGATCAAGACATCTGAGGCTCCCTCAAGCAGGAGTATCACAACAGCGAAGGAGGACCGGGCAGTGAGAGGCCTGCATTTTCCAAGTACCACACACAGTATTTGGATCTGTTTTGAGGTGTGGCCCTGCTCAGTCGAGCCCAGCAAGGCTGTATTAAATATTTCTGCCTGATCTTTGTAGTTGGTGTCAACATGCAGGCTGCCCAACAGCCCTCCGGGGGCCTAGCACTGGAACACCTTGTGCAAACTTCTGCTTCTGGCACGTGTCGCATCTCTGGACTCCCCGGCAGGCACCTGGATACTACAGTGATGGGGGACAGCACCCCAATTTACAAACACCACGTTGGCCGGCAAACAGCACTCCCGTCACAACACTCTAGCAGAGCTTTGCCTTGAACGAACTGAAAGGGCGTCCTAACGTCTAAGCTCCTTTCCTCTCACTCCCCTACTCAGCAGCACCAGAGAAGCTCAACGCAGGGGGCCAGGCTGGCGCTGTGTCCTAGCGGGTAAAGCCACCACCTGCGGTGCTGGCATCCCATATTGGCACTAGTTTGAGTCCCAGCTGCTCTACTTCCGATCCAACTCTCTGCTGTAGCCTGGAAAGCAGCGGAAGCTGGCCCAAGTCCCTGGGCCCCTACACCCACGTGGGAGACCCAGAAGAAGCTCCTGGCTCCTGGCTTCAGACTGGCCCAGCTCTGGCCATTGTGGCCATTTGAGGAGTGAACCAGTGGATGAAAGACCCCTCTCTCTCTCTGCCTCTCTAACTCTGCCTTTCAAATAAATAAATCTTTAAAGAAAAAAGAAAGTTCATCACAGAGGCAACACAAGACTTCTCGAGCTACCTGCCTCCCCACCCCACCGCTGTTTATCTGCACAAGCACCTATGGGAAGCTCCTTCATGCCTTTGCCTATTAGCCAGTCGGTGTGGCAGGAGTGTGGTGGCCCGCTGGCGGCAGGCAGAAAAGACGCCCCTGTAGAATATGTGTCCCACAGAAGCAAGGATTCCAGTGTGTCTTGTTCACAGGGACTCCCCAGGGCTGAGATCCATCCTGGCATACTGGTGCTCAGTGAACACACAGAGAGAGTGAGTGAGTGAGTGAAGTCTCGTCTCAGCCATCATCAGTCCCCTCCATTGGCTCTTCCACCGCAGCATAAAAACATGCTCGGGGGTGCTGCCATTGGGAAATTAAACCACAAGCCCCCACCCGCCATGGTCCTCCCAGTCTCCACTAGAGGTAGAATCCAGGAAGAGCAGCCAGCCACCACTTGCTTCTCCCCTTCATCTCACATGTGCCGCCGAACCTGCCGCTTGGACCCCAGCACTGACATCACTCACTCAACCCAAGAGACACGTTTTAGCTCTTATTTATCCCCCAGTGTTGGCTACTGACAGCTGGGCCTCCCTCTGTGAAAATCCCTTGCCTAGATCTTCATGAAGCCAAGAGCCCCTGGTTTTCTACTCGGGCCATCTTCTGCTGCTTTCTGAGGCCATTAGCAAGGAGTTGGGTCGGAAGTGGAGCAGCCGGGACCCAAACCAGAGCTCATATGAGATGCCGGCGCCACAGGTGGTGGCCCAACCCACTGTGCCACAACCTGGGCCTGGCTTTCCTTTCAAATGCTCTGTCCCTTCCCAGCCATTAAAGCGGTGCTGTTCAAACTTTTTAGACCTCACTCCTTTCAGTGCAGATGAGACAGTAGTCCCCGTTTATACAAGGGGACTTCAAAAAGTTCCTGGAACCTGGAATTGGATTTATTTTGGGGTAAAAAGAAAATCTGAAGTCATATATAATTTTTTCCCATAATACGCATTGTCCATGAACTTTCTGAAGTTGTCGTCTGTGTATATAAATATGTATGAGGGGACTTCAAAAAGTTTGCAGGAAAATGGAATTCCATAGTATTTTTCCACATTTTGAAGTCCCCGTGTGTGTGTATGTGTGTGTGTGAGAGAGAGACAGAGAGACAGAGACAGAGAGAGAGAGAGAGTATACACTTCTACACATGACCTTAGCCAAAAGGCTAAGAAGTGATATTAGTATACACTTCTTACAGTGTCCTGGTACAGCACATTAAGCTACCTCTGGCAACATCCGCATCCCATATCAGAGTGCCAGTTCAAATCTGCTGCTCTGCTTCTGACCCAGCTCCCTGCTAATGCACCTGGGAAAGCAGTGGAAGGTGAGCCAAATGCTTAGGCCCCTGCCACCCACATGGGAGACCCAGATGGAGTTCCTGACCCCTGACTTGGCCAGCCATGGCTGAAAGATCTCTCTCTCCCTGTCCCTGTCCCTCTCCCTCTGTTTCTCTGAGTGTGTGTCACTCTGCCTTTCAAATAAATAAGTAAATCCATAAAAATAGACATAAATGAAGATTCTAGTACATTCTTATGGTATCACATATCTCATGGCATCACCTAGCACGCCCCACTTCAGAGATCCGAGGGCTCCTCTCCTGACCCTCACCGCCTTCCTAGTCTACATCTCTCCCTCGCTGAGCCCATCTACTCCTAAGACTGCAAACCCCAAAAACAAACTAACAGCCCCCTGATTTTCATTTCCAGCCTAGATTTCCCATGAACCTTAGACCTACAAACCCAACAGTTTACTGCGCATTTCCTCCAAAGTCCCATGGGCCCTTTAAAACTCAATAGGTTCACAACAGAATTCGCCATTTTCCCATGTGCTTCTCCTGTGTTCTCTAGCTCTGAAGACGCCACCGCCTTCCTCTCAGCTGCTTGAATCCATCCTTACCCCCTCCCTCCGCTCCGCCGTTCACCAAGCACTGAATTCTGTCGGTCTTGTTTTCTTAGTGTCTCCCCACTAAGTGTGCGGTGCACACTCTTCAGGGCCTGCTGAGGTTGGTGACAACCGCCTGTTTCCCGTCCTTGTCATGCCACTCTCTGACCCGGCTTCCTACCACCTTTTTAAACACAGATCTGCCAGATCACTCTTCTACTTAAATGCTTTCATTTGCGAGGCAAAATTCCCCAAACCCCACCTACCTCAGCAACCTTGCTTCTGGGACCTCCCAACTCAATGCCTATACATCCCTGCCCCACCAAATTATCTGCTCTTTTGTTCTCACATCTCTGTGGTTTTTTTTTATACATGCTGTTGGTCTAAATTGCCTTGCCTTCATACCGCCTCTCATATTTTTCCTACAATACACTTCTCCTAGGGAACTTCCCTCCACCGCCACCCCGCCACCCCTGCCAGCTAGACGTGTCCCTCCCCTGGGGCATTCCACCAGCCTGAGCTATGATCTTCTATGACTGGGGGTGAAATCAATCACTAATTTCCCAAAAAATGGCTCCTACTTTTGTTCTCCAGGGCAGCAGTGACCAAATGGACCTATTCTTCTACATGACGTCCCTTCAAACCCCATGTGTTTGCCCTTGACCTCTCCTTTCCAGGCTAAACATCTGGATTGCTTTCAAATACTCCTCATGACCTGGTATTCATAACCCAAGTTCCCTATCTCTTTTGTGTCCCCCTCCCCCTTTCCCTAGTTCTCCCTCTGGTCTGGTCACACTGTTTGAAGGATTTTTATTCTTTTCTGAAATGCAGAAGCCAGAGCTCCTAACCGTGGGTTTCATGAAATCACATTTAGTCATTGTGGAAAATAATAATTTAGCCTCATCTGACAAGACTGGGCAAAGCAGAAGCTCGCAGGATCAGAGCCTTGGTCTGTGGAAACTTGACCATTCCGGTCCAGAAAGCCTGTTCAATGCTCATACAGAAGCAATTACTTTATGTCAGACCAAAAGCAAACAGAAAAACCTAGACCTACCTCCCTGACTCAAAATAGTACCAGACATAAGATCAAGACACGGAATGTCAATAGACGTTCAGTTCAACTACAGTATCGGAGGGAAGACTTGGCAGATTTCAAAAACTGAATGAAAATTTTTAAAAACTCCCCCAAAGTATGCCAACAGATCAGAATGACATTTCCAGAGCGAGAAACAGCAATGAAAGAAATCAAATAGGGACCCTAAAAGTTTGGGGGCATGAAAATGAAACAACGGTCATCAACACACAAGCCTGGGCAGCGCCGGGGAAGGAGGGAAGTTGCAGCCCTCCAGAACACCATTGGTCTACAGCCCACGCAGGATTAAATCACCACTGTAAAAAGGAGCCTCTCCCAGTAGCTCACACAGCAGAGGCACAGGCCTCCCACAGGTTTTGACGGTGACATGCTGGGGACCACAGCACCTGTTCATCCGAGTTGTTCTCAACTCGGCCTCTTCTTCCCTACTACTGTCTGTGCCCTCAGTCTAACCCCCACCACCCCCGCATTCTCACACACTTGACAGGACGTGCGCCGCAAGGCATAGCATGCAAAGGGCCCACCCTTTGCAGCCAGCACACCTGGATTCAAATCCAGCCTTGCTACTTAGCTACCTGTGGCTGCTGGGTAGGTTATGTAGGCTTGATCGCGCTGCAAAACGAGGCTGATACCCTCTTCTACAGATTGCTGTAAAATAAAACGCGGTGCCAGGACACATAGTAAAAAGGCCAGATTATTAGCGGACTTGCACTCCTCTTGCTAAATGGTAGGGAACCCAGGTTCTGCTAGCTCTCATTTATCTGACATGTGACCCTAAAGAGGTGACTCACATCCTAGTTTCCAAATCCTTAAAATTAGGAACTGTGACAAACTCATGAGAGGGGCTTTGTATTCGCCTAAAAAACAAAAACAAAAAAAACATGCAAACAATGACTCCATCTCCATTTCTGTGCCCCGAAACATATACAAGGGAGGGGAAGGGATTTTATCCTTTATTGATAACAACTACTAGAAATTAAGGCACCGCATTAATGTAAAATAAAAATAAAATAAAAGGCAGCCGACCATGGCGGTTAGGAAGTCTGCCTGCTCTCCTTGGCTCCTTGGCAGCGGGTTGCGATTCAACGGTTCATTGAGAAACGCATCCCCCTCCTCCGATAGGGCCTCCCGAGCCGGAAAAGGAGACCGGGCTGACCGGAGGTCGGCGACACGGCGGGCGGAGGCGCCTTGCTCAAAGAGGCGGAGGGTGGAGGCCGGCTCAGGCCGCGCCGCCACAGGCCCCGGCGGAGAGAAGCCGAGAGGGAGGCGGCCGAAGCTAGGCCGCAGCCGGCTCCCCGCACTGCGGCACACGCCCCGCCGCCGCAGCCGCCCACCTGCGGTGGCCCCCGACCCCCAAGCCCCGCGGCTCGGGCCTCCCGGAGCGCGCGCCCCGCCCGCCCCCTGGTTCCTCACCCGCCACCAACACGGACAGGAGCACGACGAGCACAGCCATGGTGCCGCGGTAGCTGCAGCACTGCGGGGCGACACAACGAGCCCGCGGGACACGAGCGACTACCTCTGCGGGAAGGGGGTGACGCGCTCCGGCTCGTTCCGACTCCCAGAGCCAGTCCCTTCGTCGCCCCCGCGGGGCCAGCTGCCTCCTTCTCCACCAATCAGCAGCTACGCCGGAGACAACGGGAAGGACGTAACCTGGGACTCGTCAGCCTGATGGGCGGAGCCTAGAGTGATGGATGGAAGGGTCACCAATGGTAGGCCACGATTGAAAAGCCGAGCAGTCCCGCCCCCAGGCCCGTGATGACGGGTCACGAGATGGAGGTAGGGTGGATGGTCTCTCGGAGAGGGTGTCGGAGCAGGTCTGGAGGATCCCTAGAGCCCACACGGTGGAGCTGCCTCCTGGGTGCGGACCCTTTGGCCAGCCTCGGGTAACAATCCCCAACCAGGGTGTCTGCCGGCTACCAGCGCCAGCTGTGTAAACTGCGGAACTGGTTCGGGTTTCGCTCTAAACCGGTACACAGACGCTGAGCACCTGCAGAGAAAGAGCCGGCTCCTCGGGCAACCCCTGTCCTCCAAGTAGCGGTGGCAGATAAAATTCAGGACGCCCAGTTACATGCTAATTTCAGATAAACAACGAATAATTTTGGTATGTCGCGAATGTTTAATGGTACATCTTTAAAATAAATTGTTGTGTCTGAGCGAGTGCTGACAGAGGACCACCACACACACATTTTAGAGTCCTTTACTGCCGGCGGCTGAGTGGGCTCATGCCCCAAAGAACTCTCGACCTTGAAGCCCAGAGCAACAGGGTTTATAAAGGCAAAAACCACAAAATCGGGAGGGCAATACATGGTTACTGGGGTCAAGCAAACCTAAAACCTATGCGAAACTAGTATCAATTATAATCTTGACAATACCAGTTACAATCTTAACAATTTCAATTATAATCTTGACATTAATCCAGATATTGGCTTAAATTGGACATAGACAAATTACAATTTTATCATTAACCCAGGTGCAGCCTATCCACTTCTAAGCTTGAGCGATCATGCTAAAGGGTTTCTATGCTTTGCCAAGTGTGATGTAGTGGCCTGCTATTGTCCAACTGTTTTAGACCATTGTTTCAGACCAGAGTCTCACGGTGAGGGGGGGTTGCCTTCCCAGAATGGAGTCTCATCTGCTCCAAAATGGAGTCTCTACTGTCCAGGTGTTACTTCAAAGTATTCATTGTTTATCTGAAATTCAGATATTAACTGGGTGTTGTGTATGATTTGCTAAGCCTGGTAACCCTATCTCCAAAAACTTTAAGATCCACAAAGATCAAATGGGACAGAAGATTAATTACTTTGATCTTGCAGTCACTCCATTTCCAACTTGAGGATAGGTGATGGCTAGACCTACTAATCAGACCCAGATTCTCCCTTCCAGCAGTTTGTAGTCTATTGTCAAGAAGTGACACAGTGTAGCATCTGTGGTGGGAAGATGCTGCCCCAGCTGATAACCTGGAGAGATGGCTCTGGTTTCAATATGCAGAAGGAAATGGGGAGGATTCCAGGTAACAGCCTGTGAGATACGATAGATAGAAAGCCTCCTCGGGTTGAGCATGAACTGCCTAGTTTGAACGAAGAAGAGATTATATGGGAGACCAAGACACAAGACCTAAAACTTTGAGTTGCGAGGGTAAAGTTACTGAAGATCTTGAATACATAGAAAAACTGCACTTCATTTGGTAAGGAGTGGGGAGCTATTGAAGGTGTTTGAGCATTGTTCAGTGGACAAATGTAAGAGAAATTTGGGGGTGGGCAGAATGCCTTACTGTTCCCAATCCCCATTTGTTCCCTTGGAATCAGCTGTGGAGGACAAAAAGAAGACTGCGATCAAAGCGGTGGCTACAGGGGTTCCCCACGCGGCGGGCCCACGCGAGGAAAGACTTGTACAACAAAGTGGAATCAGAAGAACACTCCCAGAATACTCAGTGTGAGCTTTCCAGAACCCACTGTGTTTACCACGGTCACTCTGAATCTAGGGAATGCAGAGTGGATTTCTTCAGGCAACCTCCGGAGATGGCGAACTCTTGACTCTCACGAGTGCACTTTTTTTCCAGGGAAGAATTTGCACAAATGTGACTTTAAAAGAAATCTGGGGGCCGGTGCTGTGGCGTAGTGGGTAAGGCCACCGCCTGCAGTGCCGGCATCCCATATGGGCCCTGGTTCAAGTCCCAGCTGTTCCACTTCTGGTCCAGATTTCTGCTATGGCCTGGGAAAGCAGTAGAAGATGGCCCAAGTCCTTGGGCCCCTGCACCCATGTGGGAGACCCGGAAGAAGCTCCTGGCTCCTGGCTTCGGATCAGCCCAGCTCCGGCTGTTGTGGCCAATTGGAGAGTGAACCAATGGATGGAAGACCTCTCTCTCTCTCTCTCTCTCTCTGCTTCTCCTTCTCTCTCTGTGTAACTGTGACTTTCAAATAAATAAATCTTAAAAAGAAATCTGACAGTGGAAAGAGAGAGCTTTGCATTAGCAATGTGAAATTATTAGAACCAAACTGTCTAAAGCAACTGATTTCTAAAACATCAACTCTAGCATGACTGGTTTGCAAAAATGTTATCATTTTTATAAAACTCTACTTTTAAGCATGATGTCTTTGCTTCTCGTCACACCTACTAAAAGTCCATTCTTTGTCCGCCTTGCTGCATGTCCCCAGACAGGTTTTGAACCCAAAGTCCTGCAAGCACTTATCTAAATTAACCTTCTTTAGGGGCACAATCAGCTAAAAGTGGAGCAGAGCTCCTGAAATTTTATCCAGCCCAAAGAAACAGGGAAAGGAGTGTTTTGTGGGTTTCTTCTATATATTTTGCGATTTATTTGAAAGGTGGAGTTACAGAGAGAGGTCTTCCATCCGCTGGCTCACTCCCCAAATGGCCGCAACGGCTGGAGCTGGACCAGTCTGAAGCCAGGAGCCAGGAGCTTCTTCTGGGTCTCCCACATGGGTTCTGGGGCCCAAGCCCTTGGGCCATCTTCTGCTGCTTTCCCAGGCCATAGCTGAATTGGATCCCTCCCCCTCCCCCTCCCCCAGTCACTCTGCCTTTCAAATAAATAAATGAATAAATATTTTTTTTGACAGGCAGAGTGGACAGTGAGAGAGAGAGACAGAGAGAAAGGTCTTCCTTTGCCGTTGGTTCACCCTCCAATGGCCGCCGCGGCTGGCGCGCTGCGGCCAGCGCACCGCGCTGATCCGATGGCAGGAGCCAGGTACTTCTCCTGGTCTCCCATGGGGTGCAGGGCCCAAGCACTTGGGCCATCCTCCACTGCACCCCCTGGCCACAGCAGAGAGCTGGCCTGGAAGAGGGGCAACCGGGACAGAATCCGGCGCCCCGACCGGGACTAGAACCCAGTGTGCCGGCGCCGCAAGGCGGAGGATTAGCGTAGTGAGCCACGGCACTGGCCCATATGAATAAATATTTTAAAAACATGTTCTATATCTATCTAGGCTTTCCTCTACAACTATTTTACCATGTATGTGATTTTATTTTATTTTTTATTAAAAAAAAACCATGTTGTATAGTATTGCTTATTATATCTTAAAATGTCTTAGCTATCTTTCCAAGGTGGGAAGTAGACATGTATCTTACTCTTTTTAACAGGTGCATAGTATTCCATTGTCTGAGTTGTGGTGTCTGTAGGTTACTTCATTTAGCTAATTAATTAATAACTTTGCAAGTTAACCGATTTTAATGAAACCAATGATTACACAATAACATTTTATATACATTCACAAGAAACACTTTGCAACCTTTCTGGGGGTTGTAGAAGGAAAGCAGTGGGGAGCACACCCTTGCAGAGATTCTCCAGTCGGAACTGGGGGTTAGTATTTTGGTCTTTTGACTTCAATCCCTGAGCATCCATCTTTGTCTTCCCGATGATCACACGGACCTCCTTGCACTGGTGTCAAGCTCAGCCTGTCGTTGGTTTCCTTGAAGCACCTGGCTTTCTGCCTTTCCAACATCTCGACACCACCTGGGAATGCAGCTTTGGCCCAACCTCTTTGATTTTCACCTACTTGCTATGTTCGTCCCTGGTGTAGAAGTCCCAGTAGCCTGCGGGGCCCTTCTTGTTACCTTGCCCTACTTCGCCCTCCACAGCCATGTCCTGCCTCCTGGCTGGGCAGCTCCCCACACAACAGTTGCACAGTCAGAGATAGCTCCCAGTTGCTTTGTGTCCTCTGGCTTCTTGTGGGACTCAGTGCCCTCCCAGCCAGCAGGTCCCAGCCAACTTCCCGGATGAGCCTGATCAACTCCTTGGAAGACCCAGGTCCTGTGTTGACAACTGTAGGCTCATTGTTCATTTTTCACTTCTCAGTGTACTTGTACCTCTTCTTTTCCTTCTCTCTCTCTCTCTCTCTCTCTGTGTCTCCTTCTCTCCCTCTCTTCCTCCCTCCCTCCCTCCACCCCGCTTCCTGCTCCTGCTCTTGCTCCAACTCTTCATCCCAATCTCTGTCTCTCTTCCTATCCCGTTCCTATTCCTGGTAACTCCTGCTCCTTGTTCTGAGGATATCTTGGTTATGGAGCAGACATAAACCTCAATGTTTAAAAAAAAAAAAAAAAAAAAGTCCGCGTAGGCCCTGGGTGAGCTTGCTGAGGGCAGTGTCATTGTGATCAGGGTGGACTGGGCCGCCATGGTGGGCCGATCAGCCTCGCTGTAGATAGGAGTAGTGCAGAGATTGGTGTCAGGGGCAGGATCCGGGTACCTACTGCAGAGGCCATGTGGCCTGGCAGAAACAGCTCACTCCACTCCTATGCTTTGCTCCTGAAGAGCATATGATAAGTAAAATATGCTACCCACACATGTTTTTAGCTCAGTTCTGTTTCCAGAATGCTCATTTTTCTTAGTTCCCTTCTGGGGGCTTTTCTATCAATTGCACTTCCTCTTCCTCTTTGCTGGCAACCTGAGCTGAGACTTTTAGAAGCAGAGCGAGAACCAAGCCTTTCAACATATGTGTGTGTTGTAGGTCACCACCCAAGAATTTGGGCTCCTGGATCAACTTTGTCTTCTCTGCCACTGATTTGCCTGCCTCAGCAGTGGGGCCCTGCCCTGTAGTTAGCTGTGGTGCTCATCAGCTTGTTTTCCTCATAAGCTTTGTTCACAACATCTCTG